TCTTTCTCTTATGTTTCTATCTCTTTTCTTTTCTCTCCAATTTCCCTTATATATCCTTTTATTTTCTTTCCATCATAATTCTTCTCTCAAAAATATCTATCAATTCATTTCTCACAAAATATCTCATTTTATCATTAATTAGAGAATATCTAATAAATCCACATTATTCTACCAAGTAGAATAAATTAATTAAATCCATTAACTCATTTAAATAAATCCAATAATTTATTTAAATCAGATAAATCACATAAATCAATTAATTAGCACAATTAATCACTTATTGAAAAATTGGGCTGTTACAAGTTATGCTCTTGCCCTTTTAAAAACCCTAAGTTTCGATTTTTGCGATTACTCCCTAAACCTTGATCCAATGGTCATGAAACTTCATGGGTAGGTGTAATATGTCATTAGGAACATTATTGATTCCCACCTTGAGGTCAAATTCATTACGATTGAAGAGTTGACTTTTCGGTCAACTGAACGATCGATCGATGGCTACCGAGTTGATTGTTGATATTCCGGGTCTTTCGAGACCTTGAAATTTCTTGAGTAGACTTTAATAAGACATATGAACTTTATGGACCATGATCCTACCATTAGAACACCATTTAAATCAAAAGTCAACTACAGTTGACTTTTCCTGATCGAAAACCCTAATCGGGTATCCTGAACTGCAGTGTTCTTGATCCTTGAGTAACAACCTCAAATTGGATTCATACTTAATCCAATGGAGTATATTTTATGATGTGGAGACTTACTTCATGGGCAATCAACTCAAGACATTAACTGATTAAACCGTCGAAACCTCGATTCTCGGCCGTACGGAACCCTAATTCACCTATATCTTAACAAAGACCAACTTGAAGTATGTTAAGGTTAGATAATCATATGAATATGACCCTAAAATGATGATGAAGATCTAAGGGGTTAAAATTTGGGGTGCAACACAAATAATATTACTAGACTAATGAGTTTATGCGGTTATAAAACTAAATGTTATTTCTTATTTTATTTTGTATCATTACCAACTTACATGTTTTATGAGAATAACTTGTCTCGTGAAATTTTCTACTATTATCAAGTGTTATGTTATATGGATGAATTTTATTAAACATTATATGATGGGTTTCATCCAATTTGAGTGATATAAATGAATGTAATTGTATTGATTGTGTTGTAATTTTTTTATAACAAAAAAAACTTATCAATTTTTTTATTTGAAACATAACCTACGAACCCAATCCAACCCAACCCATAAATGAACAAGTCAGTTTGAGTCCATTTTGAATGTGAAATTGCGGGTTGAATGATAGACCCAATCCATTAAAGTTTGAACGGGTCGGGTAACGGGTTAGGCCAAACTGAGTCCAACCAAACCCATGTAGACCCCTATAGTTAAGAGAATTTCTCAATGCACCCTATGTGTTACCAGGACACCGCGTAAAAATACAAAAATGCCCCCAAAATCCAGAGATGCATCTCCAGATGCACCATAAGTAAATAATAGTCTGACTTCATGTGAAAAAACTACGAAGATGCATTTTCATAAACATTACGAAGATGCATCTCGGGGCGTTGCTAATACATAACATGCCATAACCCTTATTCTTCCTTACTTGTTAAAAAACATTTTTTTCTCTAAAACTCTCTCAAAACCACATTGTCTCAAAATTAATCAAGCAACATCAAAGCTTCTTCAATCAACACCAACTACATGAAATAGCTCATTCAACTTCATCAACTTCAAAGATTCATCACTTCTTGTAAGTTTTTTATTATTGTAATTTTTTTTTGAGTTTTTGTATAAATTTGTAGAAATTGATGAGCATGTATTGAAATACATAGTTTATGCATGTTTGATGGTTGATGCATTATGAGAAATGTATTTCATAGTTAAAAGTAATGACTAATGCATTATTTTTGGAGTCATGGTGGTGTGCATTAGCGCCATTGATAAAAATAAAAGTCGCAGGAAAATCTGGAGATGTATCTCTGTATTTTTTCAATGTTTGGATTTCTAAGAACCGGAGATGCATCTCCGTATTTTACCAGTCTGCAATTTTCTCTTTTCTTGTAAGGTTTCTTGTAGTAATTGTGAGACACTTTTCTAGTTTACTTACATGCATTGCAGCTGATTGAGACGACAAATTGAGGCACAACAGAATTGTACATCATGCATCTGTCCAAATGGAAAAGAGTTAGGTTTCGCAGGCTCATATTCCCTCTAGCCTAGCTGATGTAGAGACGTTGACTTATGGGGTTCATATATCTCCACCTTCTTCTTCCTGTAGAAGAAGGGTGTCACCTAGTGATGCATCACTGCCTCCATCTTCCCGTAGACGACATGTTTCACCTACTTAAGTAGCAAAGGTAGTTGGATTCATTCTTTTTAAATTATGTTTATTTTTAAATTACAAGTTTGTGACGATAATTTATTTTTATACAAGACTATGATCCGCTGAAATTCATTAACCATGAACAGAAGATTACTGGCTTGCATCAGTTTATTGACGAGTGGTTTCAAGCTGCTTTACAACTATCTAGGATGAAGGACTTATGCAAGACTAGTTATGTTACGGTGAACCATAACATGCTTAATGCATTTTTAGAGATATGGCATATTGAGACCTCATCATTTCATCTACCATTTGGTGAGATGTTTATCACACTCGACGATGTATTGTGTCTGCTGCATCTTCCGACTAGGGAGAACCTTTTAGATCATGGAAGGATTAACATATATGAGGCACTTAAGTTGGTGGTAGACTATCTGTGAGTTAACTCTGACGCTACCTTGACAGAGTTTGAAGGCACCAGAGGGGCTCATCCTAGGTTTTGATTTTTGGATAAGGTATATATAGACGAGTTGGTTAGAGCAAAGCAAGTTGCTGCTGATAAGGAGGTGGGGCGACATAAAGCGTATGTTATGAGAGCATACCTGTTATATTTGGTTGACACTACCATATTTATGGAGAAGAATGCCACTTATGTGGATGTCCCATACCTACGATACTTCAAGCAATTTGAGCAAGTCAGTGAGTACACATGGGGGCGCTTATTTGGTCTACCTACACTCTAAGTTATCCGAGGGCTGTAGGTGGAAGACGAAGTATGTGATAGGCAACATCACACTTTTGGCGATAATATTTAGTGGTATTTTAGTGTTTGTGTTAGGGATGACAACAGGGCGGGGCGGGGGCAGGTTTAACTATACCCGCACCCGCTTCCATGTAACACACCCACCCCCGCTTCCAAACCCAACCGGGGATAAAAGTTTACCGCCCAGACCCGCCCCCAGTGGAGAACAGGTGCACCCGCCCCGCCCTCACCCGTAAAAATATAATTTATTTTTAATTGCAATAAAAATTAATAATTTAATTAAAAATTTATTATTTTAATAAATAAATAAATTATTTAATTAAAATTTTAATTAGTAAATGAATATTAACTTGATTAATTTGATCATTTTAATTGCAATAAGAGTATTAATAATTTAATTAAAAACATAATTAATTAATAATTATTAAAAAAAGTAAAATAAGGGAATTAAAGTAAAATACATTATCCAAGGGCGGGACGGGGGCGGGCGGGTCTTAGTGTTTTCCCGCCCCCGCACCCGTAGTTAAGAACCGGGTTTCCCCCTCACCTGCACCCAATTAAATCAGATTTTTTCCGTTAATTTTGGAGCGGGCCTGGGCGGGTCAGGGTTTGTTTGCCATCTCTAGTTTGTGTGTTATTTTCATTACATTTTTGCAATTTGTGTGTTCCAACACTTTTCAAGCATGGATCCTTTAGAACTTCCCACACATCTTCGTCGCGTGCTTCTGCATTTGCCCCGCTCAGAGGGAGTCATGCGACATAGCCGTTTCGAGTGTATCTTGAGCGCTTGGTAGCAGACACTTTAGAACTTCCCACACATCTTCGTCACGTGCTTCTACATTTGCCCCGCTCAGAGGGAGCCATGCGACATAACCGTGAGACATTGTCATTTGACGATATATGTATATACTCAGAATGGTTGGCTTGTGGTTCATGCCTGACATTTCCTCGTCTGCCTGAAGACATCACGCGACAGTTCAACTACACCTAGACTATTCTTAGACACCCTGTTGTCAATGCTCTTATTATGACACATAGAGATATGAATGTCATGTTTGATGATTATCTTAGTCATCAGGTACCGAAAGAGGCACATAGTACCATAACTGAGAGCGACTAGAGTTATGTAGACAGATACATTAGGAGATTCTTCAGGATGTCACATCTATTTATTGTGTAAACTACTCTAGAAGATCCATCAAGGCTAGCTCATCAGGAGATATTAGAGGAGGAGCGGGTTAGGTTAGATCATGCTCATGATGTGTTGCCTAGATGTCGCTGTATTGTGGAGATTACATAGATATATATTGACAGAGGTATCTTTACTAATGGTTATGAGGTAAGGGAGATCCTAGATGCCATTATGACAGAGGCATGAGAGAGATAGATAAGGTGTGTTTTGAAATATTTGAAGATGCATCTCTGTATTTGTGTTTACAAAATATGTTGGTGTGGTTCACTGAAATACATGAGGTATGTTTTAAAATATTTCAAAGATAAATCTCCAGATCAAAAATAATATTTTAACTTAAAACAAAATGCACCCGAATAAACATCTTCGAAATCTAAAAAACATTTTGAATTTTCTAAATGCTTTTCACTCAATAATATGGGATAAGAAATCCACCTAATAAGTCCTCTTACCAAATCCACTCAATAATATGTTATACCAAATCCATTCCGAAAGAATGTGTCTAAAAAGTCTAGGAGGTTGATATTGTTCAGTTATAAGCTTGTTCTCCGATCAAGAAGCAAACACAAATATTTACCTTTCCCATTGCAATTTTCTTTTCGTCTTAGTTAATCGGAATTAAGAATAACGTTATGCGCTGGTTTCATTCAATAGCCACATATCAGAACCTTTTTCTGAAACCCCAATATCGACCCTTCTTCCAAAAACAATGGTAGGTTTCTCTTTTTCAATGTGTTGGATCATCATTACAATTGCTTTACGATATATCTAATCGATTATTTTTTTCATCTGTATTTGCATTTCTTGTTGTTTTCATTGATCAGAATCTAATTGCCGGAGCTTTCAAGCCTCCTTGCAACATCTCAATCTCCTTTGCTGATGGAACAACACGCAAGCAGGTGTGTCGTGCTGCAATGAAATGAAATTACCCTTTTGCAATTGCTATTATTTTGTTGATTCTTTCAACTTTTAATACTGTTTGGAAGGTGTTCATCATTCCTTTGTGCTCAAAACCTTCAATAGAATCATTTTGATTTAATCTTCACTGCACTTCCCTTGGTTGGTTAATATTATAGGTTCGCGTGAAGAAGGGAAATGACCAGGCAGTTATGGTTCCTCTCTTTCAAAGTCAGGAGAATATAGTTGGGGAGGTAAACTTCATGACCTTGTCAACTTTCTTGTAAATACTTTCAAGGGATTCGTTACTATGAGTAAAGTGGAGTTTATTTATTGAGACTTTGGTTACAGGTTATTGTAGAACCTGCGAGCTGGAAGAAGGTTGAACATAATGGTGTAAAAATTGAGCTTCTTGGTCAAATAGGTGTGCTTCTGATAATTCTAGGGTTGGTTTCTACAAATTCAATAGCCATTTTCACTGGTTGGATGCCGGTAAATGTGCCCGTGATTGCATCTCTTTTCAATCATGTGTTTGTCTGGAAATTCAAATGAAAATCGATTTCTTTAGCTCAGATCCATATAGAGTAACTATTAACTTCTTTTTTTATTCATTTTTGTTTACCATGATTTGAACTTATAGTTGAATGTATAATTTTGTTTACCAGAATTGTATATTGACAGAGGCAACTTCTATGACTTTACTTCTCTTGGTAAGTTTAAGCTTGTACCTATCTACTACCACTGAGATCTTTCCTTTTTATTCTGTTTCTAAACTCAGACCTTACTATTGTGGCAATCAAATATATCTGAACCATCTTATTGTTAGAAACTTCAAGTTGCAATGTGTATTGTTCTCTCATGTCCCTTCCAATGTGGTTTTCTCCCTTTGTTGGGGTCATCATGGTTAGGGTTGATATGATAATCCTCCGTAGTTTATATAACTGTATCATTTATATGCAGTACGAGAACTTGATGTTCCTGGAAATTTATATGAAAGGAAAATATACCCGTTCGAATTCTCCACCGTTGAAATGCCACAAGAATCCTACAATGGAATCAATGTCAGGCTTAGGTATGAAATTTAATTTACTTCTCTAATAACCTTTAATTCTCAATTTTTGTGTGTACCTTGTTACTTCTCTAGAAATTTAAGGCTTAGGTGTGTAATTTAATTTGTATATAGTTTTTCAATGAATAATTAGTGTTTGTAATGTTCAATTTTTAAAAGATGGGAAGTTCATGGTTCATAGTTATTGAACTGAGAGTATATTTTCTCATTCATCAGTAGGAATTATTTTTAATACATTACTTTAAATAGGAGGGAATTCATGTTTTCCTGCATAATACCGTGGGAATAAATAACTACAGGTGATTTTGTCATAAATTCAGTTTAATATTTCAAATTCACCGAAAATGAGCACCACACCTACTTAATGTTGTAGCTTTTTTCAAGTCACTTTGTTTCTGTTGGTTGACTTGTTTGTAAACTAATGGTCATTATGGTAGCCTTTTGTTTGGGCTTCTAGGCCTGCCTTGTCATTCTAAAAAAGTCGAAGACTATTGTTTTAACATGTATTACTGATTCATATTATTTACTTTTTCATATTTCTTTCAATATTCTCACTGACCAATAAATTATTTAAAGGTGGAACAAAATGAGCACAAGGGCATAACTTAACACATTAGATCCTTTATTTGCTATTTTGCAGGTACATTTTGAAAGTGACAATTAGTCGGAATTTTGTCAACAACATTGTGGAACACGTGGATTTTGTAGTGAGTTGATTTTCTTCTGTATAAAGTTACACAGCTTGTTTGCAAGTTTAAATCTTGTGAAACCAAACAATAGTATGCGGTACATTTCAACTGTCAAAGATTGATTCTGCATGTATATGTATGTACCTCTGCTTTTGTAATTTATGCTTGTTAACATGTATGTTTAAGTTCTCAATATTCTCATAGTATATCAAATACTCTACAGTAGTACACAGTGGTTTTTAGTCATAAGTTATGAAGGCACTAAATGAAGAGTTCAAAAACCTAATTTATGGTAGACATAATATTCAGATCATTCTTTTATTGAAGAAATTTATTGAGACAATGAATAAGGGATCCTCCCTAACAAAAGTGAAAACAAAGATAAGGAGAAACTAAATTATAAAAAGCCGCCAATTCATCAACATTCTTGTTAGGAACCCAAAGTAGAAATAAACCCTTTATTTATGAAATATGATAGAATAATAAAATAGAGAATAATATATTCACAATTACAACATTCAAAAATAACTTTCTAACCCCATAATTCTCCTATTTATTCAAATGCTACTCTAACTAAACAAATAACTAACTAATTCTCCTAATATATATCCTAGCAATTATGCTACTGAGATCCCATATAAAAGTTTACGTGCTTTACACCTAACAGAGGTTGTTGAAGTTATGATATTTTAGATTGAAGGAGAAAATTAATAGCAAAACACTATAATAGGGAGGGAAATATGCTTAATATTGACTTGATGGTGATATACAAAGATTAAAAGAGAAGAATAAGAAATATTTGCTGTCTTTTTTGGAGAAAACAGTTTCTTGTACAGATGCTCTGGCTGCTCTTTTGTTAATGAGTTTTTCTCTGAAGTAGATAAAATCTCGAGTTCCCAGGCATAGCCTGAAATGCGTCCTCAATTTTGGTGTGTTTCTTCTTTCAATTGTCCCATGAAAACACCATGTCTCCTTAGTATGCAATGGTTTTCTGCAATGATCACACCAAGGTTTCTTCATTTTATCATCTTCAGAAGGAATTCCTCGTCACAAGTGCTGACATTCCAGTTTCACAAACTGTGGATGATTCAGGAGTCTTTAGCATAGTTTTTCTTCTTGGTTCATCGCTTCTAACATCATAAAAGACATGCCTAATAGACAGCAAAGGTTTGCTTCCTAGGATTCTTCCAGATTTGATCAGCATTCATAAAACATCCCAAACCTCTTTGGCTGTGTAGGAAGAAATAAGTAAGATTTACGTATTGCAGGTTTCAGAGTTGATCAACTAAGTAGCAATTTACGGAAATGTCCGACTTCCACTTTCTGAAGGAAGGATCACCTTTTTGGCAGGCTTCATTACCTCGTGTGTAAGATATCCCAGTTTTTTCTTCCCTTCTATGGTCAGTTTCACTGAATGGGTCCAGTCAATGTAATTCTTACATTTGAGTCGATGCACAATTAGTTGAAGGCTTTGGTTTTGAAAAAAGTCATCAAAAGGGACCGTTTCTTGCCTTTTGATAGTTTGCAGCCATGTTTGGTTAGTATTGTTGAGATGTTGTTTGTATCCTTTGATACCTCCATCGAGGTGCTCGATGTGTTAATGGAAGCTCAGGTCATCACTGTCTTCGCTATGTATAAGACAGTTAAGAGCCAAAGCTCTGATACCATCTAGGTTTAGAGAAAATGTTTTATTATTCAATGATTCAACAGGGCAATATAACGGGGTGTTTATGCAGATCAAATTTGCTACAATATTAATGGCAAAACAGAAATCTAATCTCCCATAAATAAGGAGAGAAAGAAAAAAGGGAAACAGAATTAAAAACTTCCCATTTAAATCTAATATGATTTATATTTTATTCCCCTAAACTAGTCCTAATGAGTTTGGAAATAAAAAGGTACCAATTTTGACATTGCAAATTTGGTTATAGCTTGATGGATTTGAGTTTTAGACGGCTGTGGATTTTTTTTTAATTTTTTTTATTTTACATATGCATCCAAACAAATCAAATAGTGATGCCACTTTTTGAGGTTAGTTCCTAAAATATTTCTATAAATATCTATTTGGTGTAATTTGAATGGATGCATGTGTAAATTTTTTCTATATAATCATTGTTTGAAAATTAATCTCATACTTTGATTTCGCCAATTTTTTCACTTCATTTTTTTTTCTTGCACTCATTAGTTAAACCCATTAGGTTAGAATAATCTATATAAAGAGATAAATGCTTGTACATTTTTCATATGTGAGATATATTATGTAGTATTCATATGGCATCAGAGCTCTCGATCTTGGGGGTTTTGTTTCCGCTTAAACCTTATTTGTCGTCATTGCGGTTTATTTTATTTTTCCGCCTTTGTTGTGGTTCCTTTTTGTTTGTCCACCTTCACTGTGGCATATTTGAGATCCAGAAAACAATGTTTATCAGAAAAATACTCCGTTCACTCCGGCAATACTGTTCATTATTTTTTTTTTGGGAGGAAAAAATGTCGATTGAATTTTGTGGGCCTCTTTACTAGTTTGGTGGTCTTTTTTATTCCAGTCAGTGAGATACAAGATACAGTCGCATGACTTTAATCAATATATTAGAAGGAGGACGGGTTGAACTCAGCCAAAATGAAGTAGAAAGGTTGAGATTCTTCCTTAGTCAGGTCCTTCTTGGAACATTCAGTTACGTTTTTGTTTCCACTTCCTCTTGGTAAGTCTCAATTTTTTTTTTTTTGAATTTAATGCTTAGGATAAACCTTATAATCAATATCGAATATTTGGTCATCTTGTCCTACCAACAAAAGAATATTCACAGCAGTTGGCACCCTTGTAACTGAAGCAAGTCAAGGAGATATTCAAATAAACCCATATAATCCTATGAAATGTTCATCCTATTCCCAAATTGTCCATTAGCCAGATTTTCATACAAAACTTCACAAAAGACCTGTAATGTAATACTGTTTTTTTTTTTATAACAGTGCTTGTATTTTTTAGAACAAAATTCAAGAAGAATGATTGTCGATTGAAAATGCTAGAGAATGGAGTAATCTTTATTACTTCGATAATCAAAAAATTCTTCCTAACCTACTTGTTTTTTTAGAATCAATTAAGCCCAAACGGGAGAAGGTCGACCTTTTGTACCACCTTCGTTTTGGTCATCTTTCACTTAAAGTCATAAAACATTCATTTCCTTCATTTTTTAAAATTTAAATGTTGAAAGTCTTTGTTGTGATGTATGTTTACTTGCAAAACACTAGCAATTCTCTTTTTCAGTTAGTAATAAACGGAGTACTTCTCCAGATATATTTCAGGATCTCTCATACATATATAGGGAAGGCAATACTTCATAGTTATTATGTTAAGGTCTTAGACATCATATTTTACTCGGTGGGATTATTCCTAGTTTCGTTCAAAAATATTTTTTTAGGAATAGATTAAATTTTCCTCGTTTTTGATTTGGACAAGAGTTATGTTTTCTTGTCTTAGACATCATATTTTACGCTTTTGTTTGAGTAATTTCATTATATTTGCCATGTTGTATCAGTTTTCGATTAAATGTAGAATGTAGTATTTTTCCTTATGGAAGCCTTTTTCTTACTACAATCTCTGCACAGGTGCGCAATTACATTCCAGCTCCATCAATTAATAATAGCATTAAGGTGAGGAGCATTCGGTGTTTAGAGTAGTGCAGATTGCTAATTAACAGTCATTGTTGTGACCATTAATTCAATAATTCAACCTATGCTTCTTATAGTCAATCTACTGGAAGGCTTCATGTTCATGGTGCTATAAATTTATCAAATTTCTCTAAACCTTCACCTTTGTGTCTAGGGTGATTGTCGGAATTCTTTAGCTCTCTAGTGATGTGTACTCTGGCAAAGAGCTTAACTTTTTGTTGTGCTATGCTTCATGCAGATGGAAGTAGGAATCGAAGACTGCTTACATATAGAGTTTGAATACAGTAAAATCAAGTGAGTCTGAAAAAGGTCATTATTTAATGTTGTCAATTGCTTTTTAAAATTTAAAAATGAACAGGTATCATCTGAAGGATGTTGTCATTGGCAAAATATATTTTGTTCTGGTGAGAATCAAATTAAAAAACATGGAACTTGAAATCAGGCGTCGGGAGTCAACTGGATCAGGGACCAATATGTATGTTGAGACAGAGACCCTTGCCAAGTTTGAGTTGATGGATGGTGTTCCAGTCCGAGGTTTGAAGTTTTCTTAGTTTCTTCGTTTGACATTACAAAAATTATGATCAATACAAGGACATAAGAATGTCTATTATTGGTTTTCCAGGAGAATCAATTCCTATCAGACTGTTCCTCAGTCCATACGAGCTGACGCCAACATATGACAATATCAATAACAAGTTTAGTGTCAAGTATTTTCTAAATCTTGTTTTCGTGGATGAAGAGGACCGGCGGTATTTCAAGCAGCAAGAAATTACAATATATCGTCTACTTGAAAACTCCTGAACAATTTTTTTCTTGTTGTTGCTTGGAGAGTTTTATATTCTGTGTCACTTGTAAGTGGAAAGTTCTTTGTTTTAGAGCTCTTACTAGAAAAGTTGGTGGTACCTTATTACTTTCTTGACAACTACAATTTGTAAGTAAAATTTTTCATATAGAATTAATTACATTTTTAATACATGTGAAAAATGTCAAAATGACATAATAAAAATGAAAGATTGAATAAAAATAATTACGTGTTTCTACATACTCCTGTTTCAAATTATAAAAAAAATTCACTTACTAAAAATATTATAACATAATAATAAGGGTCATGCTAACCAGTGCCCTAGGGCACTAGTTAAGAATTCCAAATAAGAAAAATATGTTATATTTAGTTCACTCAATACACACAATATTTTTTAAAAAGTCTGATTATTTCTCTTTTCAGAGCATTGAATACACATATATTTAGAAAAAAAATATATTTTCAATCTCTTAAACAATGCCCAACTTATCATTTTAATCTCTTAACCAATACCCTTAGGACACTTGTTAGTATTTTCCTAATAATAAATATGACTTTTTGTTTTTTCTTTAGAATAAATTTTATGAAAAATATAAAAGTAATTTTTATTGGTTATTAGTTATGAAGAGAATGAGAATAAATTAATTGTAATTTGTATTTAAAACTATCTTTAAAAAATGAGATTAATGAATATATGTAAAATAGTTTTATATTTTTAAATATAAGGTGGGATACATGATCATTTACATTATCAATAATTAATAGAACCAAATTTGATGTTTTATGATCCATTTGTTTAATGGATTAAAATTACAATTATGGGAATACCATTCAAAATTTATTCTTATAAATTTGTTTGTTAAGTAATTGAAACTTTTAAAAATAATTTTAAAGTTTATTTTATTTGAAAACTTGAAAAATAAAAAACAAATGTATTAAAATAATGGAGAAATGAGTAGTTATTGTTAGTTACTTTTAACGATCATTATAAAAGTTCAAAGTTAAAAACGTCACTAATTTCATTATAAAAATCATAACAAAAGTTTCAAGTCAAAAAGTTTACAAATTTTATAATAAAGACCCTAACAAATTTTCAAGTGAAAAAACTCATCAATTTCACTATAAAAATTCAACAATTTCACTATAAACACCGTTACAAAAGTTTAAATTTAAAAAACTCATTAATTTCTCTTTAAAAACCATAACAAAAGTTCTAAGTTAAAAAACTAATCAATTTCACTCTAAAGAAATTTATAAAAATTCAAAGTTAAAAAACTCATCAATTTCACTATAAATACTATAACAAAAGTTCAAAGTGAAAAAAAGAAAAGATTAATTTTATTATAAAGATAATTAAACAAATTTCATATTAAAAACTCACCATTTCACCAGAAAGACAATAACAAATGTTCTAAGTGAATTTTTTTTTTAAATTTCACGATAAATGTCATAACAAAAGTTTAAAGTCATAATAAAAGTCATAAAATAATAAGATTTCAATTATATATATATATATATATATATATATATATATATATATATATATATATATATATATATATATATATATATATATATATATATATATATATATATATATATATATATATATATATATATATATATATATATATATATATATATATAATTGCATAATTTTAATTTCAAAAAGGAAGTGAATAATATTTTAAGAAATTTCTCCTTGTATGCAATTATTATATAATAGTCACGAGATTCAAAATTAATAATTAATCAAATACAATTAACTTCGAAGAGAATGTGACATTTATCCTTGTGAGTAGAGTTATTAAACTTTAATGACTTTTAGAATATTATAGTATCATTTCAAAATGATTCATAAACAAAGAATAAGTTGTTATATCAAAATATAAAACTCTAATTATAAATAATCATAATTCAAGGATAATACAATTTAATTTTACTAAAGAATATTTCAAAATCATTATATATGAAAATTTTAAATATATTTAAAATTGGAATTAAATCAATCATTTTATGACATATTATATTTGAATATTGGAATATATCAAAACATCAAAATAAATAGAATATCTAATACTATTTATTTGGCATCAACTTAGGAGAGAGTTGTTGAAACTTATATGAAAACTTAGAGCCTCATTTACCCAGTTATAATATGAATGAATTTTATTTGAAATATACTATACAAGATTATACAAGGTTTTGACATATATTATCCAAAAAGGAAAAAAGATTATAGGCCAATATCATATTCACTAACATAAAAGAGAATTTTATATTAAAAACGAAAACAATTACGGCTCTTTGAAATTGAATGATAAAGTATTGGTTTTAAGGATTCATTCAACACATTTATTAGATTTTAATTAAAATATGTAAAGAATTGTCACTCAAATTATTAAAATAAAATATGACATGCAATCGTACTTCTTCGTCAAACCAAAATGTTAGTTTCAAAAAATTAGGCTTCATAATATTTTTCATTGAAAATTAATAGTGCAATAGTTGTTTTACACCAAAGATATGAAAAGTTGAAGAAACAAGGATGTATGGGAATAATACGGTGTCATAACAAAATTCTAACTATTTTCTTTGAGTAGTCAATGCAAATACACCAACACTTATAAATTTTTTATTCATAATATCTATCAGATATATCTAAACAGGGTCTGATACCAATTGAAGTATTTAACGTAATCGAATAGACACAAATTATAGCATATTATAGAATAATCAAGAACAATAAGAATGATGTACCTTGTAGGATTTGAGAGATAGTTGTCGGAAGAGTGTGAGCATGAGAGAATTACTATCCTCATTGCCGTTTAGGGTTTTCAGAGTATGTTAATTGTCAAATGGGGAGACACTTAAATAGCTAAACGGCTGAGGGCCGAGACATCTCATTGGGCTTAACTAAATGGTCCAACCCATCACAGCCCATTCAGACACAAAATCCAATCAAAAATTCATCTATAAGTGTTTAATAACAATAGACCATAATATAATCACTTAATAATTAATTACGTCAATCCATATTTGATTAATTAAATAATTAATCTAACATGAAATTAGTTAATTTTTTTAACTTAAACTTTTGTAATGGTCTTTATAGTGAAATTGACGAGTTTTTTTACTTGGAACTTTGGTTATGGTTTTTCTAGTGAAATGTGTGAGTATTTTCACTTTGAACATTTGTTATTGTCTTTTTAGTGAAATGGTAAGTTTTTAACATGGAATTGTAGTAATGATCTTTATAGTGAAGTTGGTGAGTTTCTACACTTTGAACTTTTGTTATAGTGTTTATAGTGAAATTTGACAGTTTTTTTAACTTTGTACTTTTATAATGGTCTTTAGAGTGAAATTGGATCGTTTTTTAACTAGGAATTTGATTATGGGTTCTTTGAGAGAAGTTGGTGAGTTTTTAAATTAGAAATTTTGTAATGCTTTTTATAGTGAAATATGTGAGTTTTTGCACTTGCCACTTTTGGTGTGGTGTTTATATTGAAATTGTTGAATTTTTTGACTTGAAACTTTTGTAATGATTTTTATAGTGAAATTGGTTTGTTTTTTCACTCGAAATTTTGTTGTGGTCTTTATAGTGAAATTGATGATTTTTTTATCTAGGACTTTTGTTATGGATTTTATAGTGAAATTAGTGAGTTTTTTACTTTGAACTTTTGCTATGGTTTTTATTGTGAAATTGGTAGAATTTTTTACTTGGAACTTTTGTTATGGTATTTATAGTGAAACTATTAAATTTTTTGACTTTGAAGTTTCGTTATTGTGTTTATAGTAAAATTAGTGATTTTTTTAGCATTGAACTTTTGTAATGGTCTTTATTGTAAAATTGAGTAGTTTTTTAGAGTTGAACTTTTGTTATGGTTTTTTAAAGAAATTGGTAATTTTTTTAAATTTGAACTTTTGTAATGGTATTTATTGTGAAATTGGTGAGTTTTTTCTGTTGTAACTTTTGTTATGGGTTTAATAGTGAAATTTGTAATTTTTTTGGCTTGAAATTTTTGTAATGGTCTTTAAATAGTGAATTGGTGAACTTTTTGACTTAGAACTTTTAATATAGTTTTTATAGTGAAATTATTAAGTTTTTCACTTTGAACTTTATTTATCAATTTTATCGTGAGAATTGTGAAATTTCCACTTGAAACTCTTATATGGTCTTTAGGGTGAAATATGTCAGTTTTTTAACTTAAAATTTTGTAATGGTCTTTATACTGAAATTAATGATTTTTTTGACTTGGAACTTTCGTTAAGGTTTTTATAGTGAAATGTGTGAGTACTTTCACTTTGAACTTTTGTTATGACTTTTATCGTAAAATTTGTAAAATTTTTGACTTGGAACATTTGCTATTGTCTTTCTAGTAAATTGGTGAGTTTTTAACATGGAATTTTAGTAATGGTCTTTATAGTGAAGTTTGAGAGTTTTTACACTTTGAACTTTTGTTATGGTGTTTATATTGAAATTGGAGAGTTTTTTTAACTTTGAACTTTTGTAATGGTCTTTATAGTGAAATTAGGTAGTTTTTTAACTAGGAACTTTTGTTATGGTTTTTAGAGAGAAATTGGTTAGTTTTTTAAATTTGAAAATTTTTAATACTTTTTATAGTAAAATACGAGAGTTTTTGCACTTGAAACTTTTCGTATGATGTTTATAGTGAAATTGTTGAATTTTTTAACTTGGAACTTTTGTAATGATTTTTATTGTGAAATTGATTTATTTTTTCACTCATAATTTTGTTAGAGTCTTTATAGTGAAATTGGTGAGTTTTTTTTATCTTGTTACTTTTGTTATGATTTTTATATTGAAATTAGTGAGTTTTTCATCTTAAACTTTTGTAATTGTTTTTATCGTGAAATTGGTTAAATTTTTCACTTGAAATTTTTATTATGGTGTTTAATTTGAAAGTGTTGAATTTTTTTATTTGAAACTTTTGTTATGGTGTTTGTAGTGAAATTTGTGATTTTTTTAACGTTGAACTTT